AAGTATAACTGACTCCACAATCTGTAGAGCGTTTATTTATATAAATTTGTAATGTGAAAATTTACATGCATGCATATGTGTACATAAGTATGTTTACATTAGAAGATTACCCACGAATAGATAATCTTATCTTATGTTTTAATTTTTATTGCTTTACATATTCATGATAAGAACATCAGTATACATAGATGCTTATGTTGTTGTAAAGGCATCAAGTATCAATATTCATATCATGAGTATGTGTATATGGACATCTGTTTGTACTTTAATTTTTATTGCCTGGCCTATAAATGTCATACAGCATATGAATTTATGGCCATACATTTTAATTGCTGGCTTATCGTTTCGGAAAACTAAACAGTACCCAATATGAAAAATATTTGTATTCGTTAGATGTACGGTTATGCCGTTTTCGTAGGATCGAATTTTCGTTAAATCCGATGTCTACTGTACTTGTTTACATACAATTCGTCAACAGTCTGTAAAGGTTTGTTTACATGACTTAGTTCAAGTAGAGCGACAAGTACAAGTCAAGTGCTTGCTTAATTATTATATAGTAAATCTAAATTTTTATAAGCAGTTACTTTCTTGTTGCTATGCACGAGCTATTTATTTATGTCTAGCTTTATTTATAAAAAGTCTCGTCTCTGTCTACGATGTGCATTATTTTGAACCAGTAGCATTTTCATAGACCCAAAATGCTGCCGTCGACTGTCTAACGTCTATATCGAAGTACTTAAAGTTATTGAAAATATACTGTTTTAATACTAGTCTTGAAAATATTACTTTAAGCCTAAGTACTAATACATTGTTTATTGGAAAATTACAGGCATTTGTACAAGGCATTTGTAGTAATAAATTTAAATTAACTAAGCTATTGTACTAAAATAAGCGCACTACAATGCGGAAATATGGACAATCGACAAATAACCCACAAACATCAAAACTTAAAGAGAGTAAATTTTTATAAAAGAATACTTCTTCTTCTCCTTCTTTATTGGCGTGTGTACCGCTCACGCGTTTATAGCCGAACTTCCACCTCCACCTGAACCTTCCAACGGATTGGAGGTCTTCCTTTTCCTCTGCTTCCACTAGCGGGTATTGCATCGAATACTTTCAAAGCTGGATTACTTTTATCCATTCGGACGGCATGGCCTAGCAAGCGTAGCCGCTGTCTCTTCTTTCGCTGAACTATATCAATATCATCATAAAGCTCGTTTAGCTCATCGTTCCATCGTCTACGGCATTCAATGCGCAAAGGACCAAACATTTCTCTCGAAAACTCCTACCGCCGACTCATCAAATGTTGGCATCGTCCATGCGTCCGCACCATATAGCAGGACGGAAACGATGGAAACTTGTAGAGTTTCGTTCTCCTTCGCCGAGAGAGAACTTTACTTTTCAATTGCCTACTCAGTTTAAAGGAGCACCTGTTGGCAAGAGTGATTCTGCACTGGATTTCAAGACTGGCATTGTTATTGATGTTAAAGGTGGCTCCTGGATAGACGAAATTATCTGCGTCTTCAAAGTTATGACTGTCAACAGTGACGTGCGAACCAACTCGCGAATGCGATGACTAGCTGTTTGATGACAGGAGATATGTCGTCTTGCCCTTATTCACTACCGCACCCATTCGCTTCGCTTCTTTATCAAGTCTGGAGAAAACAGAACTCACGGCGCTGTGGTTGGCCAGGCCAGTAATGTCGATATCAGCGGCGTACGCCAGCAGCTGTATACTCTTGTAGAAGATTGTACCTTCCCTATTCAGCTATGCTGGTCGTATTACTTTCTCCATAAATAGTTTAAAAAAGTCACACGATAAAAGTCACCTTGTCTGACTGAAACCATGTTTGGTATCGAACGGCTTGGAGAGGTCCTTACCGATTCTGACGTAGCTTTTAGTTGCTGTTGCATAAGGTCAACTGATGCATGCTCCTGATCAGTTCTTCACCGCCCTATTTATATAGTTCGGCCGGTGATGGTTCTCCGCCGCTTTGTTGGTTTTTAAGCGGGCAATTGCTATTCGGACTTCTTTATAGTCGGGTAATGGAGCAACTTTTCCATCGTCATCAATTGGAGTTTCGGGTGATTCCATTTCATTGTCATTCGGCTGGCTGGTAAAGTGTTTCCTCTATGAGTTCAGTTACTCTGGGTGATCTTTACGAAATCCAATAGTTTCGTTTCCAGCTGTAAGTACTGACTTTTTTCTAATAGCGGGCGCCCTTCTACAGGTTATGCCAATCCCTAAGTGTGTATTTCTGAAAGAAAGGCTCCTCATAAAAATCAGCCTTTAGGAAGCGTCTCAGAAAAAACATAAGTATTGTATATAGACTGCAAACTGGAGGAGTTTCGACCGGAAATCGCTTCAGCAGTTATAAAAAACCAATTACATATACAATACATACATACAATTGGGGTCAAAATAAAATCAGTGCTTAGTACTAAAAATTATAGGCAAAAAATAAAAATCCGTCTCCAACAATTTTTACGATTACATCATTCATAAATTAACTTCACTTATTGCAGAATAACAAGACTTAAAAAACTTGAAATGTGATATACGAGGGGATTAACAAAAGTTCTGTAAGTTGACCAGAAAAAAAAATTAATTTAGACTTTAAGGTAAATTTACCAAATTCTCGCGTCGATATACTCACACATTGTTGGTGTATATATAATATGCATGTTCATCGTATAACTTACATTTATTGACAAATATGTTAATACAAACATACGGGCATGTATCTACGGTATGTAGTTATGACATAAGTCAAACAATAATAATATAGTTTGCTCTGCAAATATTGAAGGGTTAAACCCCACTTATATATTTGCATATTTATGTTCTTAAATACGTATGTACATATATACATACAAGGTTAGTTCAGAAAGTATCGTGAACTGTGAATTTGCATTTTTTTCTACGTCTGTAATTTTTCTAAAAATGGAACAAACAATCTGCATCCAAAACCCCTCATTTTTGGGATTAAAAAATATTATTAACTTGATATATCTGATCTCGTAAAAATTAGAAAT